CGAGTACGGGGGCTTTAGTTGGATTCATTGGTATCATATTTATTTTATTTAGGGTTTGAGGACAAATTGGGGTTTTTCATCACTTTTGAGGTAGGGGTATCTAATTCATACAATCTTGCACCTTTGTGAGTTAATCTTACTTGATTAGTGATCTAGCAGCCTAATTTGTGTTTATTTTGCCTTAAAATGATTTATTTGTGTATATAAAATATATGATTTTGTGTGTAATTGATGTTGTGCAAATTAACATGCTTAATTGGTATTACTTCTTGCCTATTGTTCTTAGAATTTGCCAAATTTCAAGCATGATGTTCTCTTGGAATTTCTTATGAAATTTTGCTATGTGATATGAACTTGAATTTGGTGTATGATAATGGATAATGACATGACATGGAATAGCATGATGCATTCATGCATAACATTGGGTAAGGAAAATGGGAAAGTTGTTTTAAAAATGGAAAGAAAGGGGTTTTTAGGGAAAAGTTTTGATAAAAGGATTTTGTGAAAATCCGGACGCTAAGGGGGTACCGAGGGTCCGTGGCGTTAGTGTAGCCTAGAGGGAACTAGGGAGATCGCCCTAGCGTGGTTAAGCTATTTGAGCCCCAAATGACGCCACGGAGTTACCAAGGATCAGGGACAGTAGCCAATCCTTCTCTCATGTCGCCAAAGGGGTATCGAGGGATGGGTTACATTAACGATTTGACAAGTGCAGAATGGAAGTGATTTCGAGAACTGGGAGTGACATACATGGCATTATACTTCATGGCACGTCATAATTTATTTTGAATTTGGAATTCATTGTTGTACTCTGTCCCGGCATGGCATGACCTCTATCCTCAATCCCTATTCATTATTTGGATTCATGGGGTCATAAGAGGTGTGTCTTAGGCACCACCTACTGAGCAAATTGTTTACCCCATTATTTAACATTTTTCAGGGCCAGGAAAAGAAATAGTGGATGCCGACCTTCCACAAGCATGAAGAGGATTAGAAATCAATTTTGATACCTTTTGTATACTTCCCAATCTTTTGTAAAGTCTCAAAAACATAGTGAAGTATATTCATGCTGCAAGCCATAACCATGTGTTGTATTTAAGACATTTGACTGTATTTAATGTAAGTTTGAGGCCATGTAAATGCTTATATAGCATGGGGGAAAGATGCTATATTTTGAGAAATTAGTAATGTTTATAGGTGTGTGATGTTGTATATTTTGCTGTGAATTCAAATTGGGTTTAGATTGTAAAGAGCACAACCAGAATGCATTTCCAGGTAGTTCAAGGTTCAGGGGTTTAGTTTCGGTCAACCCTCACCATCAGCCGACCGAAACCCTAGGTTCGGCCGACCGAACCCCCCTTGTCAGCCGACCGACACGCCTACAGTAAAAGTCCCACGAGCTTGCATTTTTCCCTATTGTTTCAACTGGCCGACCTTGTAGGTCAGCCGACTGAACCTGCCCTGTCAACCGGCCGATGAAGAACCATCAGTTGGCTGATCATTCCCTTTGACCTGCATTATTTGACTATTGTTGTAAGGTTGTATTCTAAGGTATTTTAAACCCCGGATTGATCCTTATGATGATTCTGGACACAGGAAATAGAGGATATGACCTAGTTAACCTCGGGTCAGGGCAAGGACCAGGTTAACGGTTCGGACCCAAGGGTTCGGGTCGTTACATAACACTTCTCTTCTCTTTTGCCTTATGGTGAAGAGACTAGTGATGGTCTTCTTCTGCTTCTTGTTTCCGCAATACTGTGCTAGGAATATGGCGCACAAAGTTTCATAGTTCGGAATGAACTTGTGCGGCCTATTCTTGAACCATTCCAATGCGGCTCCCATCAGACTAGTCGGGAAAACCTTACGCATGAATGCATCATTGTGATTGTCTAGAGCCATCTTCTGCGAATAGTGGTTGAGGTGACGAGAGGGATCTCCTGTACCATCAAACTGAGTAAAGGAAGGCATGGTAAATTTCTTAGGTCTGCCAACATAATATATGTTATCGGTGAACAAAATCTTCACCAGAATGTTCTTATGCTCTCTGGCCATCTAGGCGGGCGTCTGAATCCTTAGGAGCTTCTTTTCGTCAAAGGCGTCCTGGACACCAGCGCCATCTGGAATGCCATTAGACCACACCGTGAGCTTAAGGCTGGACTCGGCCTGTTCGTTCTGCGTCCAAGGAGGATGATTGCCCAAAGTGACCACCTCGGTTCTCGTCCTCTGCTTTTGTTGAACCCCGTTTAGTCGAACCTTATTACGCCGAACCTTATTAGGCCGAACTTCATTGGCTTGAGGTTCGTTAACAGAAGGAATGTTGTGGTTGGCGGGAGGTGCTGCCGCATCACCTGGTGGTGGCTACGGTGCTATTTGAGCCATAGCTGCTTAGAGGGTGTCGTTCTTTTGCTGAAGCAACGTAATCTGAGCCGTGCTGGCTTCGTTTGCTTGACGAAGTATCTCGAATTGTTGTAAGAACTCTTCTCGCATCTTTTGCACTAATTCCATCTGCCGATCAACTGCTGCTGTGGATCCTCCGATTGACATTCCTGATTGTAGTAACATAAACGACTTGAATCACTCGCGAGAGTATATTTCTATACGTTTCTCATAGACGGCACTAAAGTGTAGGTGCAAAAATTTCCTTAACCAAAATAGTTAAAAGAAATAATACAACTCACTCAAGGAAAATAACAGTTAACAAGAATTATCTAGAGAAAAGTGTATATTGCTCGATAATTTTTATTAGAGGACTAAGCCTCTATTTATATACAAAAATATGGTGAAATTATGGTAGGACTCGCCTTACTTGTCCTCCAATTTATTCCATATACATTATTCTTTACATATAGAGTTCTTTCTTTTTCATAATTCTTTTCATGCCAGACTTTTCCTATATGGAACTTTTCTTCCATGTAGGATTCTTTGATTATTAAGACTTGTTCCATCTTTAATGAATTTGGGCCGAATATAACTTGGATCGGCTAAACTTGCTAATGGACTGAAAGCTTAACATTAGCGACCTTGGGCTAGTAATGACTTTACTTGGGCTTGACTAGGGCGGGCTTCTGTAATCCATGAAAGATAAAAATGTACTTTTTTATTGCGTTGACGTGGACGACTATCATTGGAGGGAGATTTTTCCCTCCACAATTACGTTTTCAATTAAACCTAACCGTCAAGATCAAAAGATTCAAAATAATAATAGTTTATAAAATGTAGAAAACACCTTTATAAGCTATAATATGATTACAGTGCGTATTACATCCTTCAGGTGCTAAATGACCATTTTCGTTATTTCATAAAATGATGGATTTTTAAATCATATATAAAATGTGTATATAAGGGTAATTTACTCGAATTATAGTTTATATGTGTGAGACCAAATTAAAACTTTAGGATGTTTCCAGAGGAATGTGAAATGTGAAATGTGAAATGTGATATGCATACTACAAGAGTGTGTGTGGATATATTTATAGTATAAACACGCGTAGTAGAGCACAAATTGTCCGGTTCATGTTGACTTACCTGGAAAGCTAATTGGCTTGTCTCAAAATTTGCAGACACCGAATATGAGTTGAATCCTTTCAACAATTTTGTTTTGAGAAATTTTCTGAAAAAATAATTTACTTTTTGCATGTTTTGATCGATGGAGCCATCTTTGACACCTACTAGGTTCTCCACAATCAATCGACTGACATTGTTATTGAACAGCACTCAATTTTTATAGTTGGTTATTCTTTCTATTTCGTATATAAAAAAAATTATAATTCTAAAACAGGCGCAAGTCAATTTTTTTAATATTTTCATTTTGTATATATAGAAGTTTAAAATTTCTAATATTGCACCATACTTGCCCTCACAATTTAATCTCTCCATAATCACTAAACATTCCATATCACCATCTTTAATCACACCTCTTTTCCCGGACTCCACAACACCCTTTGAATTATTACTATTGTTTTTTTTTTTAATGAAGGATCCCAATTTCTAACAAGGTAGTAGAAAGAAAAAAAACAAAAACCTAAATAAAGTATGCTTGTCTACTTCTCTATTATTCTATATTTTACATGAAAATCATAAATATAAACAGGGTAGAAAAATGTGAAAACCTATATTGTAAAGTACACAATTCCCTTGTATATTTGGTTTAACCTCTCATCAATTAGTTTTAAGTATGGAGAACCTAACTACAAATAGTTCAAGCTAGTTTGAAGACAATGTTACTGTAAGAGAAGACTTTCTAGATTTGTTAAGTCCTAATATATTTGATTTATTGAAAAAAAAAAAAAAAAAAAAAAAAAAAAAAAAAAAAAAAAAGCCTAACTCATGGATCTCTCATTTCCTCTTACATTAGTTTTTTTTTTTTTTTTTTTTTTTTTCAAGATATATATTTTTTTTAAGATAAGAAGTATTTGAAGTTAAATTATTAGATGCCGAGAGTCGAAGTCTAAGTACTTCAAAATTTATCGAAAACACTAACTCACTTAACTATCGAAGCATCGGTATACGCTAGAACATGTATAAGCTTTGTTTTATTTTTTGTATAATTTACCTTACTTAAATATATATAATATTTCTTCGATGGTATGAAAATATTGTTTAAAATAAAAATACATCAAAAACAACTGGAAATGTAAGAGACGAAGATATTAATATCAATCAATCACTGTGACCCGGAGTATAAGTCCTGATCATGACATCTACCAAACACAAAATGAAGAATGGGACATTCAAGTGTCTGCTGCATATACAGTGGTGCGTTTAAACATATATATATATATATATATACACTATTATTATATAAAGTTATAAACACAAATATATGTAGTTATTCCCAGGCCTCCTAACTTGGAAGCATAAGACCAACTAACCCCCATGTGGGTTGACCCGGTTTGGTAGGACCAGGACCAGCAGGCAGCTGATTTGTCTTGGAAAATTCCACTTATAACATAAAAACGAGGTTAGATTAAAGAAAGCAAATACGATATGCACGTGAGAGACGGGAGTAGCTGTTAACTACTTTTTTCACTCTTACGACCTTCAAAACATGTACTTGTAACTCGTGAGCTACTTGTAACTCGCGAGCTTTTAGGCTCTTAATCTCCCTCACTGATAATTTTATCTTACGAGTGATCTGCCGAGAAAAAATGGGTTCTTTTTAGACATTTTTCTGTTCAAGTGTTCAATAATACATGATTCAACTATGTATGTATACTTTATATATATATATATATATATATATATATATATAGTTAAGACTTGACCTGCAATAGTGACAATTTGCTATAAATTTTCAAATATTAGGAATTTATATAGATTCAATACAGTGAAGTATAGAGTTTATTAAAGTTCATATAACATCATTGTACATATATAGTAACAATATTCAGTGGAAGTAGTGCTTAATTTGAATTGGTGGCAAAATGGAGTCGGGGGAAGAAGTGTGCCAAACTCTACTGCCGGGACTGGACTCTAACGGTCAGATTCCAGAATTGTCGTCGGAGGCGGTGGAGGAAATCTTATCACACAGGCCGGTGGCTCTCCGATGGTACCCTCGGCTCGTGGGTTGGGAGTCGAGGCTCCTCTGGATTCTTTCGTGGGCTTCCATCTTCGTATCCGTTTTCAACTACATGCTCAGTTTTGTCACCCTCATGTATACCGGCCATTTAGGCGCGTTGGAGCTTGCCGGAGCCTCCGTAGCCTGCGTCGGAATTCAAGGGCTCGCTTATGGCATCATGGTAATAATACTTACATAACTCTGCTACTTAGGTACCTAATTGCATATATATGTACTCTAGTTTGTGCGTACACGTTCATATATAAGAATCGAATCAGAAAAATAGTAGTTCCATTTCCATTAGAGTTAATGTTCTTCTCGCTATAGGGAGGGGCGGAGACAATTTCATCAACGACAAATATAGAATGTTCGAATAAATAAATAAACAAATATTTGATAAATATTAGAACTAGAATATTAACTGATAATATTTTTATGGAATATAATTATAACTTTTCTAGATGGTTCTTCATATTTTAAGGAAATAAATTAGAGTTTAATTAAAAAATGGAATTTTAACTTGTTTAAATGAAATCAAAGTATTTTGAAAAGTAAAAAATGAAAGAAGAAAATAAAAAACCCCTATAAATTACAAGTTCTCCTTTTCTTATCAAAAGACAAAAAGTCCTTTAAATTGCAAGCCCTCCTTTTCTTATCAAAAGACAAAAAGTCCTATAAATTGACTTGTCTTATAGAATATTTAATTTTTGTGGAACTTCGTTGCTCATTCTAAACAAGAATTTTTTAAAATTGAATTTAAATTAAACTGATTATATTTAACTCATAAGCAATATGCACTAATTTACAGTTGGGCATGGCTAGTGCTGTTCAAACCGTGTGTGGGCAATCATATGGAGCAAGGAGATATGAAACAATGGGTGTGATTTGCCAGAGAGCAATTGTGCTGCACATTGGGGCAGCTATCCTGCTTACCTTCCTTTACTGGTACTCTGGCTCAGCCCTGAAAGCCATCGGTCAGTCAGTGAGCATAGCCGAGCAAGGCCAAATTTTTGCTCGCGGTTTGATCCCTCAACTCTATGCATTTTCAATAAGCTGCCCGATGCAGAGGTTCCTTCAAGCACAAAATATTGTCAATCCTTTGGCTTACATTGCTGTCGGGGTATTCCTATTGCACATTCTTCTCACATGGGTAGCTGTGTGTGCCTTGAATTATGGCCTCCTCGGTGCTGCCTTAACACTCAGTCTCTCTTGGTGGCTTCTGGTCATCATACAAGGCCTTTACATACTCTTCAGTCCATCTTGCAAGCAAACATGGACTGGTTTCTCTGCAAAAGCCTTTAGAGGGCTTTGGCCTTATTTCAAGCTAACTGCAGCTTCTGCTGTTATGTTGTGGTATGTGATAAATTATATATATACATATATGTATGTATGTACCTCCCTCAGGTTTGTCAATATCCTACATTTGGACCCCTCTGTTTCATAATTCCACTTACCTCCATTGTAATCTCCACTTACTTTCCTTGTCAATGACCAGAAGGTCAATTTTGCCCTCCCAATGTCTGAAATAACAACAAACATTTTATGGACAAAAAGGTAAAATAGCATGTTACATAGAAGGCAAGTGGGATTATGAAACATAGAGGGAGTCTACCAAAAATAGGATTATTTCTTTTGAATTAATTCTGACCTTAATCATAATTAATTTGTAGCTTGGAGATATGGTACAATCAAGGACTAGTTCTTATATCAGGCCTCCTCTCCAACCCTACCATCGCACTTGACTCTATTTCCATTTGGTATATAGACAACATCTCTGTTTCCAGTTTTCATTTTCAGACTGCTTATATACTTGCACTCATAACTTCTTATGCGATGAAAATTTCAGTATGAATTACTTGACCTGGGACATAGAATTTATGTTGGGGCTAGCTGCAGCAACCAGGTAAATAAACAGTCTATCTTCTCATCATTAACCGAAATGTGAACGGTTCATTATTTTAGTTATGATGATGTAAAGCTGATTGGTTTGCCGGAAAAATTGCAGCGTTCGAGTCAGTAATGAGCTTGGTGCTGGTCATCCTATGGTTGCTAAGTTTTCAGTAGTGGTGGTGACCACCACGACTACCCTCATCAGTATAATTTTCAGTTCAATTGTACTAATATTCAAGGTTGGATTGAGCAAACTCTTTACAAGTGACTCACAAGTTATTGACGCTGTGTCCAATTTGACCCCACTGCTTGCCATCTCTGTTTTGTTGAATGGCATTCAACCCATTCTGTCAGGTAAAAAAATTGATTTTGATTTACCTTAGCAGTGGATTAGTGAACAAGACTCTTCTTTTGTTCAAGGGTCATTCTTGAAAAGCATTATAATCTATATATATATATATATATATATAATTCAGGTGTTGCCATTGGGAGTGGATGGCAAGGTGTAGTGGCATATGTTAACCTGGTCACTTACTATGTTATTGGTCTCCCTATTGGATGTGTTCTTGGCTTCAAAACTAGCTTAGGAGTAGCCGTAAGTACAATGAATGATCTCCCTCCCTCTCTATAAACATGTGTGTGTAAATGCACATTCTTATGTGTGCTGACTTTGTTCAGGGTATTTGGTGGGGGATGATAGTTGGAGTTCTCTTACAAACAGTAACTCTAATTATTCTAACTGCAAGAACAAACTGGAATACAGAGGTAGTCCTAGCTTTGATTCAATCATCCTCAACAAGTTAGTCATGGGTTGTATTTGTGTAGTCACCATTCATGCTGCAATTGCAGGTCGCAAAAGCCGCTGACCGCTTGAAGAAATCGGCAAATGAAGAAGCCTTAGACCTTGTGGACACCATATGAGGAAATTCAGATGTTACAGAACATTACCAACATGACATCTCTTTCTTCTTCTTCAACTTACAGCAGAAGAGATCGAACTTACTGAAACTAGAATAAGACTTCTAAAGTCTAATACTCTGTAATACAATTCTGTCACACGGGTCTTTTTGGAAAAGATGTTTCATTGCATGGAGATAGATTTATTTTGTTTTCCATAAAAATTTAAATAAAAACAAATCCATCAATTGGAACACAGTTGTACATGCTAGATAGGGTTTGAAAAAGTATGAAATAATGCAATTTAAACTGAAAAATAAAACATCAATATCCATATGTGCAACAAGATTTATTACAGTATGTTTGATCTATTTCAAAGTGCTATAGTAACATTTGAGTGATTTCATTTTCACAGAACATCAAGATGTTTTCCAACTAAATTCATTTCAATGACATAATGAATCTTCGATTATCATGAAAATCCATCCATTGTTGTTTTTGATAAATCCCAAAACTAAACATTCAAATGTGGCTTCTACACAAACCCTAACATCATCAAATTGGAAACAGAAATTGGGGAAAAGCAGAATTTGATCATGGAAACTTACCTTTGCTACCTTCGTCTACCATATTTGGAAGGAACGAAACAGCATACATTTTCGGAAACTTTCTAATCCACCTTTGAAAACCCTCTCCGCCATTGTTGAATAAGTTCGCCTCTTCTCCATTCGAGTCATTCGACGATGCAATTGCCCACTTGCCCCGTCTATTGCCGATGACTGGAACTTCCAAAGGTCCTTCTTTGATGCCTCCGAAAGGAACATTTTCTTCTCCTTTTGATTGCTTCGATGAATGCCTCCATTAAATGCCTAACCCTCATGCTTTGTTGATGTTTCCTACCTAAGTAGTAGTTATTATGGTGTTCCCAAGTAGTTGGCGACATTTGTGTTTGGGCCCTGTTTAGACTCTTTTGGCTAGATTGGGCCCTTCCATTCCTGCCTTTTGAACACAATTAAATCTACCCACCTCCAGTCAGATTTAATACGTTAGTTACAGTAAAAACAGAATTAAGGGGTTGATAAATTACAGCAAGATAACGGTACTTCTATTTCTAATCTTTACCAATTTGGATAATTTACTTGATTCCTTCTTTTCTTTTCTTTTCTTTTTTTTTTTTTAGGTAAAAAATTTAATAGATTCCTTGCTAAGAGTCTTTTTCCTTCTATATAAAAATGGGTTACAACCCATCAACCCATACATATACATCCAATTTTTAATAATTTTGGGTGAATCATATTTAAAATGGGCCAAAAATGAGTTGAGTAATTTTTTAATTTATAACTCACCCATCACTTAATAAGCACATATGTATTCTAAATTGTACTTAACTCATTTCTTTCTCTCTAAAATCACTCACGATCTTCTCTTTCTAAATTTATCTTTCATCAATTCTCTCTCTTTAAGTTTCTCTCTTTAAGTTTCTCTCTTTAGAAATTTCTCCTCCTTCCTTCACTTCTTTTTCTCTAAAACAAGTCGATAAATATTGTTAAGTTTGAGATTGTATTTTTTATTTATTATTAAATAAAATTTTAAAACCTTTTCCAAAAAAATTAAAAATAAAAAATAATTAAAAATTTTAAAAAATTATATAATTAAAAAATAATTAATAATTAAAAATAATAATTAAAAATTTTAAAAAATATAATTAAAAAATAATAATTAATAGATCAACGAATCGTAACGGGTTAACCCTATACATTTTCAACCCGCTCATTTGTCACCAATATCAGTACAGCTTATCACTTGTGTTATCAGCAGTTGCAGCAAAGGGAAAATGGTCATTTACATTGGTCATAGGAGCATAAAATTTTCTTGATGCTCAGTTTCATGTACCAGTCTTTCATCCCACTAATCTGTGATGGAATGTTAGTTATGTGATAATAATGATATTCAATGCGTAAACCTAGTGATTCAAAACCCATTTAGTGGGCGTTAATAATAACTACTTTTTAAAGTCCATCAAAGTGCTTTTCGGAATTGATTTTTATTTTTTTATTTATTTTTATTTTAATTTATTATCATTATTTTTTAAGTTAAAGCAATTGATATATACGAGACTTGAACATGGACTATTTGACCGCCTACTACTGAACTACCACACCATACCCTAGTTAGATAATTTATTGCTAACTTATTACAGAAAGAGTGTTTTTAATATTATAATATTTATACTATGCAAACCTTAAAGCATTAACAATAATTAACAGACATGTTAAAACCATCTTCTTCCTCCTCTTCAGGAGTATAGAAAAACCAGAATTCAGAACTGGTAAAAAATACTGAATTAGTGGAATAGACCAATGTTCAAAATAAATTGAACAGATGGACTATCCCTCCAGTAAGTGCTAAGAGCATTTACAAAATCGGAATGCTTAATTTAACTGATCTATGGACTGTCAAGACCATGGAACAGACCATGCAATTAAGCACTAAGGATACAATAATTAAGTTATTGTCTTCCCGTGACCTTCAGAGGCACATGCACAAATATAAGTACATCCATATAGGTTTAATTCAAATTGCTTTTAAACCTTTAACTTTGTTAGGTATGGATGCTTGTATTCAAGCAACTCTTCGGGATGCTCGATGTCTGAAATTTCACCCTTCCTTAATGGGTGCACTGGAAACCAGTCTATGCCATGGACCGGTTTATTTTAATGTCTATCCTAGTCTGAATTTATCTTTAACAGATAAAAATATCCATGAGGCCGTCAGTCTTCGTGTTCAGACCTATGGGTATGATTATTTACCTGGATCGGAAGTGATAAGTGTTATTTATCGCATCCATTACAAAGTACTTGATACTATGTGTCCAAATGCTATACGCAAAGACTCTAAAGGAGTGACAGCGTTATGGGACACCAATATGTACACATCTAATGTTGCTACAAAAAGGATGATTCCTTGGAGTGAAATAACATTTCCTGAACATTGGACGATTTCTAACGTAGTTCCGGCAAAGCCAATTGCTAATCATAGCTTGGACTGTGTTATTCAGGACCAAGATGGTGATGTTTTTCTGAATTTCAGAAAATCAATAGATCTACCTAGATTTACATCATCTAAAGGAAGTCAGCTTCCTTATCATGTTTCTTGTCCTCCTTCTCGCCATTCGATTTCGTCGGATTACAGAAAGGAAGATCTCCCTGAAGCCGTTGGTTCAAATCAACTCAAGCTGAAAGGAATACAACAATCTCAGAATCAAATTCCAAGAGGAGTCTACGAGAAGGCACCAATAGGTATGTCTCGTCGCCAATTTGGAATTGAATTCAGCCCAACTCCATCTAAAATGGGAATCGGAAATGAATCTGTCAAGGATCAATTTGATGATCCTACAGACATCAATGATCCTCATGAATATTAGTTTTAATGGATTTTGTCCCAGATAGAATTGCCATTAATACTGAATTTCAACAGGATCAATATAAAGAATTCAGAAATTGGTATTTTAAAGCTTTTGACCACAATCAATTACAGCTTTTTAAAACTCAATTTTATGATTTTCTACAAGAACGCAAAATGGTTATACCTTTTGTTTCTTGGTTCTTCATGACCAATCATTCTCTTGTTAATATAAACATACTGGATGATTTTTTCAAAACATGGACTACATCTGAAGATAAGGTTTATCACTTTGTCCATCCTCCCACTGAACATCTAATTCTGAAAAGGATTGACCCTGACAGTGGTGCCAAAGTGGAAACCAAGGCTTATAGCCAACCTAAAATAATTGATCCATCCTGTAATGCTACTAAGAAAGACATTTCTCATATTTACAGGCAGAACAATTATACGAGTGTTTGTTTGCAAACGATAGGATCTCAGCTTGGGAGAATTGAAACAGGAATAGACACAGTATTAAATACAGTTAATACTAAGTGTATTACTGATAAGACTTCTCCTCCTGAAGCTTCCTTATCCAAAGCATTGGTCAAACCTGCAATTGAAGTTCAAGGCTTCAATCTTTCACATCCTAAGAAGAATGAACTCTTCTTACTCAGAAAATTCAAGGACTTAAAATTCAGACTTTATCCCATGATCAATCTGAAATAGGTTCTGATTCTGATGATGTGTTATCTCATACTGAGGTTTTTCAAACTGATTTTACTCAGATACCTGAGTTAAACAGAATTGTCTATGATAAGAATATCCACTCCAATACAGCCCCTGCTCCGAGTAGATATTATTATCCCAGACCCACACCTCAAGATATCTTGTATGAAGAAGATTATTTTCATACACAGAAATCTTTTCATGGCAAGACCATTTATGAATGGAACATAGACGGGAAATCTGATTATCAGATTTACGAGGTTATTCATCAAATGTTGATGTATAGCCAAGTTTGTAAATTCAACAACAATACTGACCCAACCATTGCTAAATTTATTGTTGCTGGTTTTACAGGCATCCTTAAAGGATGGTGGGATAATGTTCTCACCGACATTCAGAAAGCTGAAATCTTTTCTGCTACCAAGATAGTTAAAGATGAAGCTACCCAACAACCCGGCACTGCTCCAGATGCTGTTTACACCCTCATTACCACTATTATCCAACATTTTGTTGGCCCCGAAGGCGCTAATAGTGCACGGAGTCGGGAACTTCTACAGAATCTACGATGTCCATCTTTAACTCATTTCCGGTGGTACAAAGATGTATTCTTGGCAAAGGTTCTCCAACTTAATGATGCAAATCATGAGCACTGGAAAGCCAAATTTGTAGATGGTTTACCAACCTTCTTTGCTGAAAGAATCAGGAAAAAGCTTAGAGATATGAATAATGGTATCTCTATACCTTACATAAACTATACCTATGGTGGATTAGTCAACATTGTAATCCAGGAAGGTCTAGCTCTCTGTAATGATCTGAAGTTACAATCCCAGTTAAAAGCACAAACATTAACTGGTAGAAAAGAAGTAGGTGAATTTTGTGATCAATTTGCCTACCAGACTCCCTTATCTTATCCTAAACATAAGAAAAGAAATAAGGTTGAAAAACCTTATAAAAGGAAGTATTCCAAAAAAAGAATTATTCAAAGGAAAAGGATAATTCTAGACAGTATACTAAGCCTAAAAGGAAATATATTCCTAAAGCAAAGGGTAAAGGAAAGCCCAAGGCTGAGGCTAAATGTTTCAA